CTCTTCCTTTTGAGACAGAAATCATATTTAAGCTATATTTTACTTGCTAACCATATACATACATACATACTCACTCAATTAATTCATTAATACGGTGCTCTGCTGCCTTGCTGGGCTAGCCAGTGAAACTAAAGGGAAGAGCATGGCTGAATGGAAGCTGGCTTAAATTATCTTTATACCTAGGCCTGAAGAAACAACATAGGGGAACATTTTGCCATTGAGACTAATCCACTAAGCTATTTTTCCCTGCTACAGAAATTTTCATTGGGTCCCTTTCAGTTGACTGGTGCGCAGAGATCCACATGCCTGCCTCTACCAGCAGACACGCACACTTTGATGCAATCCATCTGACTAAACAAAACAAAAAAAAAATCCCAAGTCACTTGCTAAAGCAGCAACGATGCACTTACCAGCATCCAGGCAAGCTCCTTCACTGATAAGCTTCTCTCTTGAGCGGATCAAATTTGGAACAAGGTCCAGGAGGCAAGAGAGAACTGAAAACTGACCACAACAAGCTTCCAAAACAAGAAGGGGAGAGGAGGGAGGGAAAAAAAAAAAAAAAAAACACACACACACACACTTACTACAGGAATTCAAATCCTGCTTCCACCAGACCCTGAGTCACCTCCCCTCCCTTGCAATAGATCAGAGCAATGGGTAAACATTTCCAAATATGGAGATCAAAACTCCAAAGGATGTCAAAAAAAAATCACCCTTCTCTCCCTGGCTTTGGCACTCGGATGACTTGCCCCCCTCAAGACTGAATTCCAGGCGCTGCGCACATTATTCACACCGACCCTTGCGCAGCCTGAGCCCAGGGCCGCACATTACTGCTGCGTCCCAGCCTGCGCTTGAGCGACTCCTGGCCTGACAAGTGACATGCAGAGCGCGTTTCCATCCCCTCCCGGAGACGCACGGGCAGCATGCACGCACGGCACACGACAGGGCGAGCTCCAGAAGAGCCCTCGCCCCAGGCTGCTGCAGCAAACCCTCCATCCCATCTCATCTGCAGAAAAACAACCAGAACTATTTTTCAGTGTTATTTGAAGGCAACCAGGCAGATTCAGGCTCTGTGTATAGTGATGCTAGCTCAGCAGCAGAAAAGGCAGGACACAGCAAACAGTCCCCCTAGAGAAAGGGATCGGACCTATTTGGCAGGCTGAGTATGACGGCACGACCAAGACTGCACACGGCCGCAGGGTCCTGCTTGCGACATCCAACTCCAACTGCTACCCAGGGCAGAAAAAAGCTCCTCTGGCCTGGCTCATCTAGTTAGTGCTTTGCAAAAAAAAAAAAAAAAAAAAAAAAAAAAAAAAAAACCAAAAAACCAAAAAAAAGTGTCTTTTATTTTAATTCATACGAGGAAAACACAGATCTGTGGAAAGGAATGTGCTCTTTGGTCAAGCCAACATCTGTCAGCAGGGCAAGGCAGCCTCAGAAAGGCAGCATCCCTTGATTCTTGCCCTGCCATAACCATTCTTCTAGCCTGAAACCAAAAGGCTGCCTGCCCCAGCCCAAAAGGCTGCACCTCTGTTGCACAAGCAACACAATCACAGTCAAAAAAAGGCTCATCATTGCCCCAGCAGGCTCCCTGCTGGCACTTGTGATGGGGGACCCCATAGCTGAAGGGACCTGGAGAGCACAGAGCTTCTCCTCTACTTTAAGACAGGCTTGAACTTTGATGCTTAGCCCATAAAGCGGATTTGGGAGGCAGAACAGCTACGTTCGCAGGGCACCGGTCGACCACAGAGCCCGCTTGCACACAAGAGCTATTGACCCATAACAACGGTCCCACAGGCTACTGGGATAGTGCTCCTCTCCCAAACGTGCATGTCTCCCCTCAGCTGCCACAGCCGATCTGCAGGTGACAGGGAGGCAGACACTCCTGCTGGGATGCCTGGCAGGAGAGGGGGGTGAAACCCTCCCAGCCCTTCTGCCCAGGGGGGAAGGGATCCTCCTCATAGCTGCAGCCATTAGCTATACTGAGCACGCAGCGCTTGAGGAATGTGCAAATCAGGACGTTTTCAACAGCAACAGACTGCCGAGTTGATGCTACCAGAGCGATTCTCCACCACCACCCACAAGATGCTATTGAATTTATAGGAAAGGAATTCCAAAGCTGACTCTGGCCATGTATGGCCAAAATCAACTGTAAAAAAAGCAACGTTACAATACATCTGGCTTGTACTGATACTGAATCACAGACTTTGAGAAGAACTGAAACCCTGCAACAACAGAGGCCATATAATTACCTCCAGTAACTAGACAGGGTCAGGGATCCATGACAGCATGATTTTAGCCACTGATATCACAGGTGACAAAACATGTAAGCCTTTGCTTCAGGGAAAAAAAAAAAAACAACAACAACAAAGCTTCCTGCTTTTTAGAATAGGAATCACACTTAATGTAATGATCCATCATTACCACTGCAAAAAAAATAAACCTTACAGGGCAATACGGTCACAAGTCCATAAGTCACTTTAGTCCACTTCCATAAACAAACAACAATTCAAATGACAGCAAGAAGTACACCAGGGCAATGCCAATACATTTTCCCAAAATGCAGGATGGGACTGAATCATGCTTGGTGAGCATCTGATTAATTATTTTTCCAAAAATCTAGTAACACCTCCCCAGGAGCCACAAACCCCAGCCAGCAACCTGGCCTTCAGGAGCGTTCTCCATGGTCAGAAACTCCAAAACCGTGGTAAGAAGGGTCATATAAGTACCTGTGAAGGTTTAGCAGACTCTGACCAAATTTCTCAGCCCCTGCCAGAAAATAACTCCCAAGGCATTGCCTGTGTGAGTAACATGAGTTTCAATAGCAAGATGAAGTTGAAATAGCATAAGGCAAGCGAGGGAACAAAAGTGTTGGAGAAGAAACGGCTAGAATAGTGGAAAACTTGTCCCAGGAGCACACCAGTCCTTACTGATATAGGCTGCTGAAGCATTAACAGACTGAGGTTCTCCTTAACAGTTAAATGCCACTAATGTGCCTGCCCTGCCAGCAGGGGAAACATTAGCTGTGTCAGCTCAAGAGGCAAATGGCTTACCAAACCAGAGAGGAATGCAGGCTGCAGAGTGGCACACACAGTGGGGACAAGGAAACGAAACCCAGAGGAATGCTGGCTGCTAACACCCTCTCTTATTTACACTGGGGTCAGGAAGGATACGCTTTATGGCTCCTGGGGTTGAAACCTGGGACTGACAGCTTTGCGACCTTAGAGGGACTCCCATGCCAGAAACAAAGTTGCTAGAGGGGCTGGGAGCTTGGGGCCTGGAGCACATCAGGGCAAGCCAGTTCCTGGCTCCTGGCACGCAGCCTAGTGCTGCTTTTCAGTAAGTGCAAATTGTACCCACTGGACTGGAAGAAAGTACTAACTTCACCCTTCAGGGACAGTGCACAGGGATGGAGGCATGCTCAGCCCATGATGATCCCTCATCAGGGAGCAAACGCATGTGTCCTCTTAAGAACATTTGCTGATTGGAGACACACCATGTGGCTATTTTCCCAGTTTTGCATTCTTGAGGATAGCATTAGGATCTCCCTTTGGTTTCCCAGCTGAAATGGCCTTACAGCCTCTCCCTTTCTACCTTGTTTGCTTTAAACAGTGGTACGTAAGGAGGCTGGCTGGGCTGGCTCTTTGCCTTCCCTCCTGTTCACCCCGGGACAGCCTCCCTTTCGGAAACAGGACTGCCAGGGCATCACTGCAGTCCCAACTCTTTAACGCATGAGCCAAGGTTCAGTGCCTCTGCTTTAAAGCATCTTTCACCCTAAACTGCACAGAGGAGAGAAACCCACGGGAAGAACATATCAGCACCCAACCATATCCTAACCAAGAGCTCCCTGTTACACAGTACCACAAGTCACTCTCCTTGCACCACTTCTAACCCTGGAAAATAAAAGCTTGGGGAGACTGGAAATAAAATACAACCTAAGCCTCCTGCATAGAAGTTTGGATCATTATCACTTGGCCCCTGGGTCAGGCGTGACTAATTTCTTTTAAATGATATTACATAAGCAGAACTGCTCAGGATATTTGATTCATAAAAATGTCTTGAAGAGGCAGAAAGCACAACTGCATGGCATACATAACCCAAGGATTGCTGCAGCTTCACAGGCAGACAGAGCATGGAAAATCACCATAATGCAGAAAGTGAGGACTAGGATGTTCATATGCTCACATGCACAAATACACATGCATACCAACCTTTCTCCAACATGCACAAGAACAGATTTAGGACTTGCAGGCTGAAGTCCTCCACAGCCAAAAGTTAACACAAATGTTTTTGACAGTTCCACTTTGCAGGCAAAGACTGAGTGCAAAGGAATAAATATAGAAAAAAGTCAGGCAGTTAAAGCAGGTGCTGGCTGGTAAAACCTTGGCCAGAAAGGCTCCCCAGGAGGTTGGATCTGGTAGCTTTGCAACAGCTCCACAGCGAGACAGAAGAGACAGAGAGAGGAGAAAAAAAAAAAAAAAGACAGCATGAATGCATATGCAGTCTTTTATCTCCATATATAGTATATATAGGCATTTGGTCTATACACCCCCAAGCTCATACACTCCATATAGTATATACTATATATGCATTGTGTGTCTTTGTTTCAGTGTGTCCAGATTTGTATAGTGTGTACATATATGCCTTTATTATGCATGCATTTGTGAATACCCTCCCCACATCACCTATACAGGCATGGTATCACACCACACACCACTCAACAGAGCATAACTAACACCTCAGTTCTAGTCGGTCACAACTTCTGAATGCTTGCAACTTCTCACAGGTGCTAAGCCCTTCACCACCAAGGCCTCTGGGTGCCAGCACCAAAGGGAATCGCTATCTTTGTCTCATTTTCCAATGATCCCAACCCCTGCTGCACTCAGGAGCCAGTATTATTTATTTATTTGCAAAGAGCCACAAACAAAGTACTACTCTTAGAAAAGCCACAAATTCTTTGGAGAAAGTGCCCCTCACGCCTGAGAGATGTGTGTACGTACCAGTTCTCGCACTACACAGCTTTGCCCGGTGGGAAGAACTCGGTGAGGTGGCTTTTGGAGATATGCAGGGCTTCTGTCTTCCTCAGGCTCCTCCTGAGTCACGACTTTGGATTTCTTTCCCAGCCCTGTGGAGAGAGAGAGAGTTTTCCATGTAATGCATGCCGCGTGGGCCTCCCAACAACTCTTCTCCAGAACTTGCAGTTTAACCCACACAGCTTCTGGGAAACGGAGCATTTTCTTCTCTGACTTTTTCTTAGACAGAAGCCACCATTTTTCTGGACTGCTTTACAGCAGCCACTCTCTGCACCCCATAAAAGCGAACATCACCACTACAAACCAGGGCAACGCACAATGCAGAGTTTCAAGGCACTACACTAGGAATACAACAAAACACATCAGTTTTTAAAGGTAGGTGTGTAAGACTGAAAATGCCTGAGTTACCATGCAGCAGCTGAGCTGTGATAAGATGTTGCACACTCAATTCGCATTTTCTCATGGTTTAAATTTTACCTCGTGAGCAGCACAGGCTGAGAAACCCAGGCTTTCAGTTACCACAATTCAGCTGACAAGCTATAACTCTTCAAGCCACGGCTACTAGACTACTATTATTCACGCCTCTGAGGAGAAGGAGGTAAAAGGAGACAAAGTGACAGAACAGGGCAAATCTATGGTTAGTCTCTGTGACCTGAAGTACAGTGAGAGAGCTAGGAGGCATCATTTAATTCAGGTTTGAAGCTCATGGAGTTTGCCGTTACCATGAGCAAAGCTATATTACCACCTGGTTCACTAAATCCTCCACCTCTACATAGCCCTTTTTCGGAGGCGCTCTGCTAAATTCCCATTCAGGGGTTTTCTCACTGCTTCCTGCAGGAGCACAGTTGCAAAGCAAACACCACCTATTCTTCAAAGCCTCCCTCCACCTTTCCTTTAGGGGGACCCATGCAGTAAAAGCAAAGTGACACAGTTGGTCCTGGTTTTCCCTCTACAGAAGATGAAGGCAGAGTTAATAACTTCGTGGTCAGCACAGGGGACATCCTATCAGCCATCCCGGTTCACTGAGTCACTGTGGCCGGCCAGACAGACAGACAGACAGACAGACATGCCTGCATGTGGCACACCAAGACAGACCTCTGGGACCCATGCAGATACGTGGCATCTGAAATGCACATTCCTTCCTGCCCCTCCCCATAGCCTGCACACTGTCCTCTCCACATCCTGGCTACCCTACGTGCCCTATCTCACTCATGACAAGTGCCATCTCCACTCAGCACACACTTGTTAAGTCAGGACTGCCCTTCAGGCTTTGTCACTTGAACCCACTTCCCCATCATGCCCAGTAGTTATCTACTGCTGCTTTCAAGGCCCTCTTAGCCTACCTCAGCCCTGTATGCTTTCTCCCCTAATTCTTCAAAATCCACCTCCTGGGAAAACCTTGGCAGCAGATTGGCTGCGGAGCCCACCATCCCACCAGCTAATCACTACTGTCTCCTTGCAATCCCTGCCTCCACCCACCCACCATCTCTCCTGGGCATGGGGACCAGTACTGTTGTTACACAGAACCATGTAAAACATCACTCTGAGCAAAAGGTTACTGCCAATGGCTGTTGTAATGATGGAAATGCTCGTTCAGGTTTGCATTTTTCCTACCTGCACTGCTCAGAAAAAGGTATTTTAGCCCACAAGGTCCCTAAGCAATTTATAGCCATACACAAGAGAGCTGGATGGCTCACAGTCCAGGCCACCCTTCTCAGGCCTTCACCCACCTTTTGCACCCAGCATGACAGCTCCTTTCCACATCAGGACGCCTCTGTCACTGTATGTCAGACCTGATACTACCACAGCAATGCAGGAGGTGAGGGCTTTCCCCTCTCCCAAGCGGCAGAAGATCTCCATCATGCCAAAGTCACAAGAACATGCTGGGGGTCCACCCTGACCCAAGCTGTACCTTCTCAGCTCAGCCTCACAAAAGGACCACAGTCCCTGTGGCAGCATCCAGCCCTGATTCCCCATAGGGCTAGGCTCAAGTCTAGGCAGACCTGGCATCAAGAGTCTCCGGGACCCTCAGGTGCAATAAGAGCTGACTCAACCAGAGATTGCAATGGCCCATTACTGGCCTCTCCCACTCACTGCAGGCTTGGGACAAAGACGAGTAACTGCAGAGGTTTATTGCTGGTGAACTCAGCCAACGAGCGATTTCTCTCCATCTATCAAGGAGGAGACAAGTACAAGCAAATATTATGGTTGTGCATGTTTACTTTTCATTTTAAAATGATGTAGAGTTATATACAATTTAGGTCCTTCCCACACGCTCCTGGCAAAACGCCCTTTGGTCTTATCTGCAAAGGCTGAAGACAACAAACATTCCCCTCTAGTTCCAACATTATCTCAATTCAACCTGCGACAGCACCTCAGGGAGCTCCAGGTAAGACAATATTCTTGGGACCCAACCTGTGCTTAAGAGAGCTTGGCTCGGGCTTCTCTTTCATCAGGTTTAACTCAAGAAGTGTTTATAAGATCAATTACAGGACTCTGACAGACTTGTCTAACTGAGCTGCATCCGCCTAACTTTACTCTCCATGCTGGCTGTCCCTTGTCTGCTTGTGACTACTGTTCCTGTAGCCTCAACCACAGCGACTCTACTGGGGAAGCATGCAAGTGTTGCAGATCTTTGGAAACAACAGAAAATCCTTTAAAATGCTTCAGTCTTCACTGCTAAGGCCAGCCCTCAGGAATTCCTGACTCCTGAGACCAGGGAAAAAGTCTGGAGAAAGGAAGACTCTCCCTTGTTTGAAGGGAATCAGGTTAGAGATCACTTAGGCAAACTTGACACCCACAAACCCATGGGCCCCGATGGGATGCACCCACGAGTGCTGAGGGAGCTGGCGGATGTCATTACTAGGCCACTCTCCATCATCTTTGAAAGGTCACGGCACTCAGGAGAGGTGCCTGAGGACTGGAAGAAAGCCGGTGTCACCCCAGTCCTCAAAAAAGGACAAGAAGGAGGAGCCAGGGAACTCCAGGCCTGTCAGCCTCACCTCCATCCCTGGAAAGGTGATGGAACAGCTCATCCCGGAGGTCCTCACTAAGCAGATGGAGGACAAGAAAGCGAGCAGGAGTAGTCAGCACGGATTCACCAAAGGGAAATCACGCTTGAGCAATCTGATAGCCTTCTCTGATGGAATGACTGGCTGGGTAGATGAGGGCAGAGCAGTGGATGCTGTCTACCTGGACTTCAGCTAGGCTTTGGACACTGTCTCCCCTCACATCCTCGTAGGGAAACTCAGGAAGTGTGGGCTGGATGAGTGGACAGGGAGGTGGATCGAGAACTGGCTGGATGGCAGAGCTCCGAGGGTTGTGGTCAGTGGGGCAGAGTCTAGTTGGAGGCCTATAGCTAGCGGTGTCCCCCAGGGGTCAGTCCTGGGTCCAGTCTTGTTCAATGTGTATTCCTCAATGACCTGGAGGAAGGGACAGAGTGCACCCTCAGCAAGTTTGCTGATGACACTAAACTGGGAGGCGTGGCTGACACACTCACTAGAAGGCTGTGCTGCCATTCAGAGGGACCTGGACAGGCTGGAATGATGAGAACCTCATGAAATTCAAAGGCAAGTGCAGGGTCCTGCACCTAGGGAGGAATAACCCCATAGACCAGTACAGGCCAGGGGCTGACCTGCTGGAAGGCAGCTCTGCCGAGAAGGACCTGGGAGTCCTGGTGGACAACAAGTTCAGCATGAGCCAACAATGTGCCCTTGTGGCCAAGGCGGCCAATGGGATCCTGGGCTGCATTAGGCAGAGTGTTGCCAGCAGGTCGAGGGAGGTGATTCTCCCCCTCTCCTCAGCCCTGGGGAGGCCTCACCTGGAGTACCGTGTCCAATTCTGGGCTCCCCAGTACAAAAGACACATGGCCCTACTGGAGAGAGTCCAGCAGAGGGCTACAAAGATGATGAGGGGACTGGAGCATCTCTCCTATGAGGAAAGGCTGAGGGAGCTGGGCCTGCTTAGCCTGGAGAAGAGAAGACTGAGAGGCGATCCGATCAGTGTCTACAAGTACCTGAAGGGAGGATGTCAAGAGGATGGGGCCAGACTCGTCTCCGCGGCGCCCAGCAACAGGACAAGAGGCAACAGGCACAAACTGGAAACAGGAAGTTCTGTCCGAACACGAGGAAAAACTTCTTGACTGTGAGGGTGACAGAGCACTGGCACAGGTTGCCCAGAGAGGTGGTGGAGTCTCCTTCCCTGGAGATATTCAAAACCAGTCTGGACACTATCCTGGGAAACATGCTTTGGAGGACCCTGCTTGAGCAGAGGGGTTGGACTAGATGATCTCCAGAGGTCCCTTCCAACCTCAACCATTCTGTGATTCTGTGCGATTCTGTGATTCCTTGGGCAAACCCTCCCCCGTCTGATCTTATCTCAGGCAGTACAGAGCTGATATGGGGCAAAAGGAGAGCAGCCTGCCCCAAAGAAGAGTCTATCCCACACCGTGCTGTGCGCCCCACTGGCCTCCTCTCGGTCATGTTCATTCCCGCTTTGGCTCAAGTAGGGGAAAAGCAAACGAGCTAATAGTAAAGAAGCTACCTAGACTGTTGCCACCAATTCCAACAAATATCTTTCCTCCACTAGAGCCCCCAGGGGACATGCAAGACCTGCCCTTACACTGGGTTTCATATAACATGCCCCGATAACCTTTGTGGGGGATTTTTAGGTGCTATTACAACAAGAAAAATTATTGACAGACAGAGTTATAGATTTACAAATCTCAGGTCCCTTCTAGTCTAGAACTACCGTTAACAGATGATCAGTGGCCAGTATATGGTTAATTCCAACTTTAACCTTGCAACAACAACAAAAACCCGGCTTCCTGTCACAGTCCTGAAAGAGATAATTGCAGAAAGTGTCTTCAGTAGTACGCCTTTACATGGTCAAGCTCCCATCTGCCATAACTCAGTGCAACTCCTGTAACTTCAGATCACCAGCTACACTGAGACTTCCAAGTCTGTACACACACATATATGCACACATATATCTTTATTGTTATGCTTAGTAGATCACAAATAACTTATTTTAATGCACCCTGAAGCATTTCAATAGGCAATCTATCTTTAAAATAATTTAAAGCAAACACCCA